GCGATCTACCTGGATCTATGTGGCCTGGAGGTTAGCTCATAAAGATAGTTTCAGGTATAACGTAAAGCAACTCAATGTGGTGATTCCACCCCTCTCATCCCCACTCGCTGAAAAACACCCATATCAAGTTTCATTTCCTGCCACTTTGGGCTACTTGGGCATTTGAGTGAGGGAACAACAGGGAAGGAGGAGACAGACTCTGGAAGATTTGCCACGGGGACACAGTGCCCTGGTATGTGGGAAGCAGCCATGAATCCTTAGACCTTAAGTAAATGCTCTTGGGTAATGGATCTCCTCTAACATGTCGATCAAATCCATTTACATATGGCTCCTTTAGAAAACAGAATACATGTTAAATTGGTAGGCACTTCCAAGTCCTTAGTGTATTTTCACACTGGAATCTTGTGCTAGATGGTGAGAAACATAAAAGTCTATACGAATTGGGGGTAGGGGAAGAGGGGGTGTGGCAAAGAAGGAAAGGAGCCAACTGGACTCACTCAGCATGAGTTCCACAACTAATAGAAAGCAAATTCTAGTATGAGTTGAACCTTTTCCCTGTGTAGACACGGGGATGTGCTAGGGTAGGAGTTCGCCTGGCTCCAAGCCTGGCTCCACCTGTCCTTGCTTTGGGCCCTCGTTAATTCCTGTCTGTACAGCAGGAAGGCTGAAGCTGATGAATGAGCTATGTCCCTTCCTCCTCTAAGCTGTCAGTCCTCAAAAACTGTGAAGAAATATTTTGTTTTTCCACAGGTAAAAGATGAGAGTTAGATTGGAGGTATTTGGGGTTCTTTTGCAGGACAGTGGTAGTAATTTTTATACCAAATGGGACTGATGATTATTTAGAAAACTACACAAGCATATTTATATTTCTTTTGTTCAAAATGTGTCCAGCAGATTCTGTGCCACATTGCAAACCACAAAGTGATTTTAGACCTAGCTTGAAATATCCTAGTAAATTCCAGCAAGAAATTTTAATCTTTTCTGTTGACAGTTTTCATCGAGGAAGTGATGAGATAGAAAGGGGGGAAAAAAAAATCAAGCGCTAGTGCCATTTGAACCAGTGGCTCCACCAATGAGCGACAGAGGAGTAGAGCGGGCTAGGAGACTGCCTGATAGCACGTCAGCAGACAAAATTCCTAGGTACACACACGCAAGGCCCCACGTGATAAGTTAAAAGTTAAAACTTGGAATGCATCTACATCATATAACTTTTTTGACTTAGGGGTTTTCCTTCAACTAAAGAAAAAACAAGGATCTTGTAAAAATCAAATACTACTAACAAGTGACCTTTCTCTGATCAGGCCAGCTAAATAGTACTCTCTTTTAAAACCAAGAAACTTAGAACAATTGAAAAGTAAGCTTTGGCCCCATCACAGCGGCTCAGGCAGTGTGTGGTAAGAGAGCCCTGTGAGAGGCCTTGGGTTCCAATCCCAGGGTGTCCTGAACACTTGAGAGTACCAGCAATCCTGGCCAGCTGGAGGGCTGAGGGATAAGGCAGGAGGTGTAATGGGAGTGGGGCATGAGGCCTTCTCAAGGTGAGGTCTGTCTCTCTGCCCTTATTCCCTTTCTCTCTCATGAAAGAAATTAACTTTAAAAAAGCCTGGGCCAGGCCAGTTGGTGGCTGGGGCAGCTGGATCCCAGATGGCTGGCGGCTGTGTGGTTCGATACCTAGACCCTGTAACTTGAAAAATACCAGGGGTGAGTGTGTGTGTGTGTGTGTGTGTGTGTGTCCAAAATGTCAAAAGGAGGGAGAGATGGAGAAGGGACTGTGGTGTCACCATTCCTCACAGTGGGCTGCTGTCTCCTTTTCCTTCTCCTTTGTCTTTATCTCTTGTAAGAGACATGTCCTATTCAGCAAAAGCTAAAAAAAAAGAGTCTTGGCCAACAAAATTCACTTACTATTTTCATCTAAAATGCTTTGATTTGTGAACAGCTGGCAGAAAACGCTAACATTTTCTTCCTTGCAACAACAAAAAGTTAGCTTTTAAAAGTTACTTAATCTTGAGGGCCAGCGGGTGACATGGTGGTTAAGGCACAGGCCACTCCTACATGGCCAATCATGGTTCAAGTCCTGGACCTGATGGTTTGCTTTCCCACTTTCCCTCTCTCTCTCTGGTCAAATGAAAATAAATGAATGAATAAATAAAATTAAATAAATAATTCGTTTAAAAAATGACTTAATCTTAAACTCACTTGATTAATACCCATAGAAATTTTATTCTAATTTGCTTTAAAAATCTTTCTTCCAAGATACTTATAAACATCATTTCATCTTTATTCTTCAAGATTTACTTTACTTGGCCTTCCCAGGCTACTTTCAGACTCTGCCTGGTTCCTTCAAATCCACAGGACCCCGTTCTTAGCCCATCTTCCGTCTGTGAATCCTCCAATGTATCCTCCCATGAGCCTTCTAATGCCGGCCTAGCGGCCTTCCCACCAAGGTGCACTGCAAACAATGCC